ATTATATATATATATATATATATATATATATATATATATATATATATGCATGTTCAAACGAAAACGCTAATATAGAAAATTATGTATGATTTGTGTAACAAATCATACATGACATGATCCGGACGACTTTGCATTGCGACTTAAGTAACCTCAAAAGTCTCTCACTTCCATTTAATGTAAAATCACTTGTGATTTCATACATTAWCGATTTTTTTTTCTTGTTTTTTTAAATAGTTAGTGTTTTCGCTTGAATCTTCTTCTCTCTCTATATATATTCCTCTTTTTCTGTTAACCAAATAAATAGTATAAACTTTGTTAATMGGGGGATTTCGTATTTTTCATTATTGATACCACATTCCTTAAATATTTTATTCAATTAATTATTACATTCCTTAAATATCACATTCATTAATTATCTCATTCACTTAATTGTTTCACCTATGAACTTGTTTAAACTTACTTAATTATCTCATTCACCTTTTCGTTTCACATATAAAATTTAAATAAAAATCATTGTTTCATTTTCTGGTTTCACTTATGGACTTTAAATAAAAAATATTATTTCATTTTCTGGTTTCACCTATGAACTTTTTATTATAAGATCGATGATTGCTAAAAAAATTGTTTTAATGAACCATAGGGGTCGTTTGGTTTGCGGAATTCGAAGAAATTTGATGGAATTAAAATGACAAATTCTTTTGACCAAATTCCAAGTCATTTGTTTGGTCTATTTCTTGAAATTGATGGAATTCTTTAAATTCCATTGAATTCCACAAATTAATGAATTCATCATTCATTGGCATAATGGAAGGAATTGAATTCCATCACCACCCACCCAACTAGGCAACTATTGTTCATCAAGCCCCACCCCCCACCACCACACCACTACGATCGACGCCACCCACTCTCACCCACACACACACACTACCCCACCATTAACCACCATGTCACTACTATTGTCATCACACCCCCCGATCACTCACTACACAACCCTACTACGACCATGCTACTACTGTTATTGTCGCGCCCCTAACCTAACCCCCACCACCACAACATTATTGTTGATGTCACAACGGCCACTCACCGCCACCCCACCTTACCCCAACCCACCACTAACCACCATGCCACTACTATCGCAGTCATACTCACCCACCCCCAGCCACCCGACCACCATCCGACCACGGTCGCCGTCACAGCTGCCACCCATCCTCACCGCCTCGCCCCTCCCCCCTCCCGCCCCTAACCTAACCCCACACCATTACTGTCTCMTTCACAACCGCCAGTCACCCGCACCYCATCCTACCCCAGACTCACCACTAAGCACCATGCCACTATTGTTGTTATCATACCCACCAACTCCTAGGTCTCAGCCACCCAACCACTATCCCACCACTATCATCATTATAGCTACCACTCTGCCACCTACCCCTACCCACCCTACTGTCTCGTCGCGGCCCCACCCCCGCCCCAGCCTACCCTACTCCAACCCACCACTAGCCAACATCCTACCACTACAGTCGTCACAGCTACCAACCTACATCCATTGCCCTACTCTGGTCCCACCCCTACTACCTCACCTCACCTTGCCTACCCCCAAAAAAAACCCACCTAAGGAGCAGGGTAKGGCATGAGAGGTGGGGGCGGGGTTTGGGCAAGTGTGGGGCGAGGTTTGGGCAAGGGTAGGGCAGGGTGATAGTTGTAACGATGACAGTAGTGACATGGGGGTTGGTAGGGTGTGGGTGGGGCAATGGGGTGGATAGTCCAAACAAAGACGATTGTTCCAATTCTATTGAGAGATTTCATTCCAATTCCTACCAACCAAACGCGTGGTCAAATTCYGTTCCAATTCCTTCAAAGTCAAATTCCTTTGATGAATTCCAATTCCATCAAATTTCATTATGTGAACTAAACGCCCCCTAAAAGTTTAAAATGGTGATGAAAAATTAGCATGAGGTGACATGAAAATCAAACTGATTAATTTTGATTTACATAGAGTGTTATTTCGATAGTCAACATTGTGACCTAAAATGATGTCAATATATATATATATATATATATATATCATAGGATGTGTCTGATAGTTGAACGATGCTATGTAAAAATGATATATTAGATAATATTAATTAAGAAACAATTATTGATTAATTTTGCATCTAGGAATACTTGAAAAAACAATTTTAAATGAGTTACTAGTATTTCTCAAATTCAATACTATTTCGGATGATAAAAACAATATATTGAAGTTCTTTTTCATACTTATTGAAGGCCCCTTTTTATATCTCGCCCATGGCTTATAAAATGTCAGAAATAGGCCTGATCACCACCGATTCAAGTCAAGTTCTTCCACTCTCTACGAATCTGCGAAGTTCCAAGATCACAAACTTTCCCTTTCTATGTGGTTCCAACTTCCAACTATGCTTTTTTTTTTCGGATTCAAACAAAGGGGAAAACATCCAATAATGTGAATGGACTTTTCTTAAAACTGTTGAAATGTAATCATATATGGTGTGGAAGGACTTTGTAACAAAATGGTGCTAATAAGCTCTCTTAAGATGTAGTCATGTGCAACAATGTAAGGACTTTTCTTAAATCTGTTTCTGTTTTCACTTTTCTAAGACCCATAATTAATTTTCACTTTTCGGGTTCGGTTTCGGGTATGTTGACTTGGTCAACGCCGGTGATCCTGAAATATATACAGTGAGAGAAAGTTWGTACCTTTGATGAAGTGAGGCATCCAATTGAGAACAAAAGGTTTCAACATCACAACGAGAAGCCATGTCATACAATCCTAGTGCCTCATACAACGGGTTTTTTGCCGTCGGAGCCACAAATCCACTTCCGGCAATGACATCGAGGTTCCGACGCTTGATCTCCACGGGTAAATTGAAGAGTGATCTGACCACTGACTTCATCTCGGACATCMACGTCGAGGGAAGGACTTGCTGGTGGTTAAGCAACCTGAAACATCCCCATTCTTCAGATGCTGCAATCAATTTGGATGATTGATTGGGGAAATCGTGTAGATCAATTACCGGAATACTACATTTGGTGGCCATCTTCAATTTTGTGCTTAGAAAGTTGGAAATTTTATAGAGTGGATGTCCTTTTGCTCATAGGAGACGGGTTTTGCTTCTTTTTTTTCCTCCAAAAACATACAAAAAAGCTTAGTTGAGGTTGGTTTAAACCGATATGCAGCTATCAAATATATATGTAATTTAGATTTTAGAAATAAAATAATACAAGTAAAAGAGTAATCGATGATAATCTTGGAGATCCAAGTCGACAACGTGTCGTATGTATCTGTTTATGTTGGATTGTCACTTTTGAATTGTTCTTTAGTTTTTGTTTTTAGAATATACAGCTGTCAATCATATTCGTACTTCTTTCTATATAAGTGGTATATGAACGAGATAGGGGTACATAATGTGAGTGATGTGAGCCAAGTGGGGTTAAATGTAAATGATCTTGATTTGATCCTATCAATTGTTCATTTAACAACACTCATTATTAATAATTATTACGAAATATATATTTAACTGTTACAAAATATTATGAAGAATATTGGAGTTAGAATACAGGAAATGAATGTAAATTTTGCAAATTATTTAAGAAAAAAAGATTCTGAAGGAAGGGAAGTCTTTTAAGGGTCCGTTTGATTTACAAGAGCAGAATAAATTTGGGATTCAAATCCATTCTAATCTCTCTCGTATTTGGTTTGCAAATTTAGTCGGATTTGAATGGTTAGGATGTAATTGAAATCCCATAGATGATGGATTTAGAAATCCTTAGGAAAGGTCAATTCCGATCCACCCAAGTAGGTGTCTTATGCGTCCCAATTCCCTTTATTTCATCTACGTGGAATGAATATTCCATTAGGCATTTGCACCACTTACCACATGACTTCGATCAAATCAATAGAAATTTATTTTTTAATTAAGATAATAGTCACTAAAATACACATTATTGAATCTAATTAAATAATTAATGGGATCTTAAATAAAAAAATATTTAGAATTTTTAAATCTTATTATCAACAACAATTATATATATATATATATATGGAGTATCAAACGAGAATAAATTCATTTTATAAAAACATAATACATTTATCACATGTGATAATACATGTGAAGGATATGATAGTATGCAGACAACTTGATCCGCAATCTAGGTCGCGCCATAGGGCGTTCGCTTCTCTTGTTTAATATCATATCAAGAACATCTTTGTCATATTTGGTAATACATGTGATGCGGTCTAATAGTGTGTGGGCGACTTGGCCCACAACCTAAGTCGTGTCAATGGTCGTCTGCGTCTCTGATTTAATATCACATGTGATTTACTATAGTAAAATATATTCCTGCCTTTTCGTAAAATGAAGGTATTCTAGTTTAAACCATTTTCTCTCTCTGTGTGTATGTATATACACATACACACACCACAAATCAAATAAAAACTCGCTAAAAGTTACAAATAGTAAAAAGTAATTTCATGTATCGGGAGGGATCAATAGTTGATGGCAGATGAATTCATTGCTTAAATATGTAGTTTTGGAACAATGAATTAGATGATTAAATATGTAGTTTTAGAAATAATGAAAGTGATTCGGTGATTAAACATAAAGCTTTGGAAAAATCGGTAACAAAGAGGTGATGCATCAATAAAAACAAATTCTTTATAAAACAAACAAATTAATAAATTATATATAAAAAATCAAATCACATTCCAAATCCTACAAACCAAACATGATTTATAAATGAGATGAAATTCAAATCCATTCTAAATACTGCAAACCGAACGCACAAAGGGATTCCAAATCCTCCCCAATTCAAATTCCTCCAAATCCAAATCTTTCCATAAAATTTATATCCCTCGAAAACAATCTTGCAAAAACCAAACGGACCTAAGATAATAATATCCGCCATATCAAAACATGGACAATTAGGTATAACTACAAAGTGCTATGCTGTTCTTAAATTTTTTGGAGATTTAAAGAAAAGTTCACCCCAACAACTATGTTAAAACTCTACTCTAAAATAGAGGGAAAATGAAAAATGAAAGATACTCTTATGGTATAATGTAAAATAAAATATAATTGTTTATTAATTATTTAAAATGAAATTAGATTGCAGAATGATTAAGAAAGACTCAAAATACAAAATCATTTACTAGCATAACATAAGTGAGGTGTTTAAGTGTTACCCTTCTCACCCCCAGGAAAACTATCATGACACAATCAAACACATACACATACATACCACAAAGGTTTTCGGCATTAATCTCTCTATGCATCATCATCATCGACATATCTGCAACTCCACTCTATAAATTTCCCAATTTTCTATACAAAAAATTTGAAGATGGCCACCAGATGCAGTATCGAGGTGACCGATCTACACGATTTCCTTAATCAATCATCCAAATTGATGGCAGCATGTGAAGGATGGGGATGTTTCAGGTTGCTTAATCACCGCCAAGTCCTTCTCTTCAACGCTCATGTCCGAGATGAAGTCAGTGGTCAGATCACTCTTCGATTTAGCGGTGGAGATCAAGCGCCCATGTCATTGTCGGAAGTGGATCATATGGCTCCAAGGGCAAAAAGCTGTTTTACAATGCACTAGGTTTGTACAACATGGCTTCTCGTCGTGACGTGGAAACCTTTTATTCTCAACTGGATGCATCACCTCATCGGAGTTTCTCTAGCTCTATCACCAGTGTTGACCGTCCATATCAGTCAACAACCTCCATTTTTCAGTATGAGTGAAAGTGGCCTGCGAGCATTCGAAAGTGGCCAATTTCATATCATGCATCTCAGACCGTCCAAATAAATCCTAGTGTCTCGTACTAGACGAGGTGAGGCATCCAATTGAGAACAAAAGATTTTGACGTCACAAAAAGAAGCCATGTCGTCTAATCCTAGTGCCTCATATGGTGGGTTTTTTTGCCGTCGGAGCCGTATATCCACTTCCGGTAATGACATCGAGATCTTCACTGGTAAATCGAAGGGTAATTTGACCACCGACTTCATCTTGGACACCGGCGTTGGGGGAAGGACTTTGTGGTGGTTTAGCAACCTGAAACATCCCCATTCTTCACATGCTGCCATCAATTTGGATGATTAATTACGGAAATCGCATAGATCGATCACCAGAATACTGCATTTAGTGGCCATCTTCACTTTTTGCGTATAGATTTGGGAAATTTATAGAGTGGAGTTGCAAAGATGTCCTTTTGCGTGTAGGACACAAGATGTCGAAAAGAACGTCGCTTTGCTGCTTCTGCTTTTGTCTAAGAAAATATACAAATAATGTAGTGGAGGTGGGTTCGAGGGTGACCAAACAATCGAGAGCTTCGCCTGCCTGCAAACATTCGAGGGTGAATAAACCATGGTTCATCAGTTTTGAGAACTCTGCGTCTGCAGTAGTGCGAGAGCTTCGCCTGCATGCAGATTTGTGGATAACCTCAACTTCCTGTAGTCTTCATAAGTGGTAGGCACGTAGACACGGGGATGATCAGCGTTCATCAGTTCTGGTGGTGGTTCGATTGCCTCTGTTGGTCCTAAAAGGAAAGATGCAATCGACACACGAGTTGTTGCTTCTTTGCATTGCACCCTATGTTTCACATTGCAAAATCTTCCATTGCTCCACATCTCCAAATATCGTCAAAGATTATGATTCAAAAATGGCAACATTTAGTCAAAAAATTAAGGGATGGTCATTTTCATGATGTTTGAAACCATGAAAAAAATGGTGATAACTGTGTGTGTGAGAGTTTCCCGATTATATACTTGAAAAAAAGATGGTTTAGAGACAAACCGTTGCCATGTCACCGAGGTTAACAAGAAGCGAATCGGGCCATGGGTCTACGGGGATGAAGTGGCTGGACTTGTCCATGACTTCTAGACCACCAACGTCTTCATCGTCTTGGAGGATGGTGAGGAAACCAGAGTCTGTGTGTATTTGGACACCAGATGACCCAACACTTTGAGGGGTAAAGTGGTATTTGTTTATCCTGAATTGGCATGGCCAACTCTCAAACCCAATATTTTCACTTTTTATCCTTAAACCTTCAGCTAATTTCTCTCCGATCCTCATAAAAAGTTCATGTACCGCTCCAGCGTATTTAGTCAATATCCCTCTATTTCAAAACAATTTTTAATCTACAAAATGATTCTAGAAAATGGTAAAATGATGATTTTACGCTGTCTATTAACAAAGATAGTAGATGATAGTTAAGATGAAGGACCAAATTCAAAATATTATATAAACTTTAAAGATTTTTTTTGTAATAAATAAAGTTTAGGGACCAATTCCGTAAGAAACCCAAAACTATAGGAGCAAATATATAATCTACTCTTTTTTTCTTTTTTTCTGTATATCAAATTATAAATATAATGTAAAGTGTTTTGGCAAATCAATCATTTGCTAGAAAAGTCACCGATTCCATATCGTGCATCTCAAACCGTCCAAATCAATCTAACGGCTCCCATTTCTCTTCATCCACATCTCATATACTCTTACGGAAAAATGGAGATTGTTGACTGATATCGGTGGTCAACACTAGTGATCCTGAAATATACACAGAGAGAGTACCTTTGATGAGGTGAAGCATCCAATTGAGAACAAAAGGTTTGAACGTCACGACTAGAAGCCATGTCGTACAATCCTAGTGCCTCGTACAACGGGTTCTTTGCTGTCGGAGCCATATATCCACTTCCAGCAATCACATCGAGGTTCTGGCGCTTGATCTCCACCGGTAAATCGAAGAGTGATCTGACTACCAACTTCATCTCAGACATTAGTGTTGAGGGAAGGACTTCGTGATGGTTAAGCAACCTGAAACATCCCCATTCTTCACAAGCTGCCATCAATTTGGATGATTGATTGGGGAAATCGTGAAGATCAATCACCGGAATATTGCATTTAGTGGCCATTTTCAATATTTTGCATAGAAAATTGGAAAATTTATAGAATGGAGTTGCAAAGATATCCTTTTGCGTGTAAAAAAAATAACACGACTTTTTTTCTCCAAAAAGTTTAGTGGAGGTGGGTCTTATCAAATGGATTTAGGTCGGGGTAATAAAATTGGGTGGTATACATACAATACCCTCTTAAATGGTTAAAACAGTCGTTTTTGAATGAATGACAATTTCCGTGTTGAAACACATAATTTGTGTTCCCTTTATATGCTTTTTAGTTGCTACCATAACTTGACACAATCGTTATTTTATCGAGTAAAAGTTACAACATATAGTTAGAGATCACAAATAGTTGGTTCGAAATGATTTGAGAGTAACCGGAAATTTACCCTTTGGCAAGTAAGGGTGAACGACATCCCAGTTCAATATGAATTAACTGAAGCATTGAACGAAGAGAGCAAGATACCATTAAACACATTAGAGCTTATGTGGTTATTATGGAGGTATTAAGTAGAGTTGGTTGGTACATGGTATAAAATTTTACGTATCAATTATAACTGAATGGTGCACGGTATATGAAAAAGAGAATATAATACGATACCATGTTCACCCTTAACTTTTAACTTATCAATTAATTTACGAAACATAACCTTAACAAGGATGGGTTATCATTTTGGTCTCTAATGTCAACCAACACCAAGTATGTATATGGGTTTGGTGAAATGATTTGAAAGTTTGAGGGTTATTTTCGTATAAGTCAAAAATCTTAGGGGGTTTGCTGCAATTAAACCATTTATATTCATTGATTGGTTTTGTGGTTGTCACCATCAACCCCTACTTTCTACTTTCTCACCCGTGATGCCCACATGTTTAGGTCCAATATTTGTACAACACCACTTTTTTCTATTTATGAATGCTTAATCATTTATGTTTTATAATAATTTTAGAAGGGTTCTCGTACAATTTAACGAGATTGTTTTATTTTTTTTGTCGATATTATAATATAGTTTTATGTGGTTTGAGAAAACAATATGATTTTTATTTTTAAATAAAATATAATTTGGAGATATCATAAAAATTTGTAAAAAAAATATATCGGTATTATTATCAAATTAACCATGCAAAAGTTATGGTTTTTTTTTTAGCTTCTTTAATTTAATTTTTTTTATGTTAATTTAATTTAAGTTTAATAACAAAGTAATTTGTTTTTGGTTTAATTGTATAACTTTTTATAAATGATAATAAGTAAGTATTTTGTTAGAACTCAATTATTATTCTTCATTACATTTTAGATTTTTTATATTTAAAATGAGATGTTTATCTTGTATTTGATACGATTATCTGCAGTTAGTTACACGAATTTAAACATGGAGTTTTAATAAAGTACAATCTACTTGTAATCTTGAATTTTAAGTAATATACATTAAATAAACAGTACTTTATGCATAAAAATGGTTTTTAAAAGTTTATGTCAAATGCTTTAAAATATAGTTTTTACTATCTTTATAAAAAATTATATTCTTAAACGAAAAATAAATTACTTTGTTATTAAACCTAAATTAAATTATAATAAAGAATTTGAATCAAAAAAATGTCACCAAAAAAAAAATTAATACTAATATCGATATATACTTTTTTTTCAAATTTTTATGATATTCTCAAATTTATATTTTATATTTTTTTAAAACCATATAAAATTGTATTATCTAGACAGAAACAAAATATTAAAACCGAGATGCATCTTACTGTATTATGTGAATACCCTTATAGAATCAATTATCATATTTGTGTCATAAGGGTATATTGGGAAAAGAAAAAAGAAAAAAAATGTATAAGAAAAACAAAAAGCTAAATAATAATATAATGATAAGGGGAGAAAGAGACAGGTGGAGGGAGATCAGGTCTCGAGTATAAATGTATGTAAAAGTTTATGAAAACAGAGATTGAAAGTAGCAAGAAACCAATTGCGAATTATTAACGGTGTCATGATGAAAGTTAGCGGTATATTATTTTATGGTGAAACAACCTTGATGAAAATATAATTTGGTTGTTTGTAACGAAATGTTACAATTATGGGAGAACGTGGACCAGTAAAAAGAATCTTCCCAATATAGGTTGTCGAATTGTATTAGTAGATGGTCGGATACAGTTGTGTTAAACAGTTAAAATAAGATGTAAAGAATCCTAACCGATGATGATCTATGAAATGTATGTACATACATACATATTGAGAAATGCTTAAGTGAAAATTTGGACATTAAGAACATAAGAATTATTGTTGCATTTGATGTAAAATACATTGATGTTGTGAGAATGATTAATAAAGCCTTTGAAGCCAATTAATGACAACATTTCAAAAGTGCGATTTAAAAAAAAAACGATGATAAGGAAAGAAGCAAGGTATATTAGATACACTTTAGACATATATTGTGAGCATAAAATATTCCATTAGAGTAATTGTATTAGAGCGTACACACGCTCGTATATAAGATTGGGTTCCAGTGAGAATGGAAATTATGGTGAGAAGAGATCTCCACATTTGAATCAACCTTAATTGAATGTCAATACTAATGAGGTGTACCAAGATGCACAAGATCAATTTTCTTCCAAAGCACAATTTATGGGTGAGAATGAGATTGAAAGTGGTCAAAGGTTTAGATATTTTTTTACACTTCTTACTATGACTTCCCTTCTCACACAATCATTCGCCTATATATATATATATATATATATATATATATATATTAATTTATCTTTTCATTTTTTTTGTTTTAAAATATACGACCGTCAATTCTATTCATACCGATTCTTATATGAATAATAGACTTAACTTGTTTGATGTCCACATTTTTTAATTGCCTTTTTCATGAGTGGTCCTTGAATATCTTCTCATTGTATGTTTAGTCCTTTATAAGAAAAAGACTAGCAATGTTCATAATTTACACCTTTTAGGAGTGTTCTTGATAGCGAGCGAAATATGTGTAATCACAATGGGTTAGCAAACAGTCCACAGTGGGAAGCGTAATTGTACGCTTGTCACTATGATCGTCAGATAAGTAATAAAGTTAGTAAAAACCAGTATCGTATACTCAAAGACTGAGCAATCAATACAATATCATTCTCGTGAACTTCCTTTTATAAGTTTCAATTAGAGATGAAGCAAATAAGTTGGATGGTTTGGTGAAATAGCTTTAACAAAGTTCTAATAATAAAAGAATGAGATGTATAAAGCACTTATTTTATAGTTTTTAGCTAGTTTATTTTTCTTTTATCTCAATCTTGAGTCATTTTATTATTTTATTTTCTCTTTTATTAATTATGGAGCTAAAAGTGTGATTTACTTGTCTTTTACACCGTTAGAAGACTAAAATGAAGAAAAAAAATGCAAAACTGTTTGAAGATGCAACAGTAGAGATCTGATGGAATTCGACTTTTTGAAGAGCTTAATGAGCTAAGATGTTTAAAAAAATTTGTTTCTAGAAGCCCTGGAACTGAAAACTTTTTGATATTAAAAATTGTTAAACTCTTGTTAAGATTATTTCACAATCTAGTTACTTTAATTGTACTTGATGTTGATTTTTGATGGTTTTACCCACTAGATAATTTTTTTGTCTTTTTGTGCCCTATTTTTGTATAAATAAGGGGGTTGGTTTCTTGTATTTTGATCATCCGAAATCAGTTCCTAAACTGATTTTTTTCTCTAAACTTCGAAGAAATTTAAGTTTCGTAATTACTTTCAAGTTTGTTCTTTATTTTCTGTACCGTCATTTACTTTCTGCTTTTTATACTAAGTCATTTACTTTCCGTGATTTATATTTATGTCTTTACTTTCGGTTATTTACTTTCCTTGTCATTTACTTTCCGCTAAGAGTAACTAATTCTATAGCTTAGGTGTGAGACAAAAGGTGAGATTTTAAACCGAAGAAAAGTAGACGTTGTTTTGCAATAAAAAGTTCCACTATTTCATTCAAGTTTTATAAAAAACAATAACACTTTTTGACAAGTTGATCACTTTGAAAGTGTTAAAGTGTCATGGTCTTAGAAATAAGTCATTGAATGCACGTCAACTTGAATGATATGAGAGGTAGACTTGAGAAAGTTTCCTGCAATAAGACTTGTCATGTATATCTTTCAAACTAATTAATTCTCGACATGTTGGTCACTTGTTAAAGTGCAGTAGATTCAGAGATGAACTACTTAGAATACATGTCAACTTGAATGATATGGGAACCGACTCGAGAGAATGTTTTTTAACAAAGAGATTTGTTTATCCATATATTTTGAGAACGCCATCCATCACTATCCCTGGTTCTGATACCACATAAAGTTATGGGTTGAAAGCTATAATATAGTGCAACGGTGGAAATCCGAGAGAATATCCTCAAAATAGATGGTGGAACTAGTTATGGCTGACTGCTTGTTATAGCATTCCTACAGCATTGTCCGCTGAAATTTGTGTTTATGGCTGACTGCGTGGAGTGGGCACTCTCTTTTGAGAGGTCCTGTCACAACTAATACTCGCACTTCCTCTAATTTCACCGTTTTGTTATTGATAACCCGTCGTGAATCCTCTCGGGTTTCTATGGAATGTGTAGAAACAAATGCTGTAAATGTTTTTAATGCACTAGGTAATTTGCCTCTATTCCATGTGGTTGGCGTTCTCACTATGCAAACCCAATTGATGTTATAAGAATTCACTCGAACTTCTCAGCATCACTCAAGCTCATGTCACTACGTTTTGCTCATCTCTGGATCTAGGATTAGACTTTAGACACTTGCAAGAGATCAGCTTGTCCGCATCATTGGGCGTTATCGAACAAAAGGTGACCAAAACAATAAAGATTCAACATATAAAATTACTCAATAATTTTACCTAAAGTCTAGGTACTTTTCACTTATACATCTCAAATGATGCTTAACTCATACTTATAAAGGAGTAGAAAACAAAAATTAAAAGAATGCAAGAAAACGTACCAAAAGATTTTCAATAAAGTTGCAATGCTCACTCTCATATACACTGGTTTACAATATTGAAAATAAAATTACTAAAAGTAAAACTAAGTTACTGAATTCAAAGTGCAAATTTACTGATGGAAATTACTTCTCTCTAAGACTAAAGCTAACTAAATCATAGGGAAAAAAACTTGAATAAAAGGATGGTAACAAATGCCAAACATTTATATAGGTCAAGCCAAAAGTACACTCCTTTTACCCAAGAGGCAAAAAGGTAAACCCACTCTTTCTTAAATTATGGCTTTTGAATAAACAATTATTTTTGTTTATCTTCTTTATGTCTTATTTTCACCAACCGCAGAAAGTGAAACATGGAGCCTCCTAAAACAGTTTTTTGGTTCCCCATTCAACACTACACCAGCCTCAAAATCGTCTTTTTACACATGCTAGATCTGACGATACAGAGTGGCCACTTCCATATCTAACTCCGAATGAATTCTCGATTTTTCAACATAAAAACGCACCAAATAGTTTATAGTTATATAAATGCACACTTTCTGCTCATAAAGGAATATTAGACCGAGAATAGAAATTTAGGGAACGACCGAAATTGACAAAAGAATATTAATAAAAAAACATATAATAACTCTAAAAATTAGAATTGTGAGTCGTCAACTTCGAACAATGATCCATCCAGACTAGAGATGGCCAAAAACCGGTCCCGGACCGGTCCCAATCGGTCCTCACCATTCTCATAACTGGCCATAACCGATCCCGGCGTAACCGGTCTCGGTCCCGGTCCCGGTCGAAAATGATAGGACCGGTATAGGTACTTTATAACCG